CTTTATGGAACTAGATAGTCCTGCCTACACACTGAAGTCCCTGAATGGATTCCAACCACCAACTTATTGATTAGCATACTAGTGCTTAACTCTCATGACACCAGCTTTCTTTAATCCAGAGAATATTAATTATATAAAATATCTGAATAGCTTCTATGGTCAGTAATACAATTTTGTGAATTAAGATTTCAGAAAAAAAATGGAAGTTACAAGAAGGCAGATTTGGCTGTAAGTGTGGTAAAAAGAACTTGCTAACAACTGGAATTGTTTAGCAATGAATAATCTCCTAAAGTGTTAAGATTTCTGACAGAAATTGATCAAAACAAAATACATGAAGATTACCTGGCTTCTTCTCAGAGTATACTTACCTGAAAGAGCAAAAAACAATAATTAATGAAAATATTTTCCTAATTTATTTAAATGGATTTATTGTCCTGGTGTAGCCCTGTGGAATAAGTAAGGTCAGTTTGAACCACAAGGTAGGCAGTTCAAACCCACCAGCAACTCCTTGAAAACCCTATATAGGGTCTATGTGAGACAGAAAGGACCTGATGACATGTAATAACAACAATTGTATGTGAATACTTAACTTTCTGGTATATTTGAAATTTGCCTTGCATATTTTTAAATAGTAATGCTAATAGACAAGAAGCAAGAATGCCTGAATGTAGCCCAAAACACTGATTCTCCTTCCAGTGAGATTGCCAGAGAAGAAGTTGAGGACAATGCAAAGGAAGTAAAGCACTTACTGAATCTAGAATAAAAGTTGCAATAGAAGAGAAATCAGACTCAGACAATAGCTCTGCATCTAGCTTTCCAGTAAAACTTGTCCTGCTGCAGGCTAACATTAGTGCCTAAAACAAAAACCTCTAGATAATCAACTTAAAATCTTCCTATACACGGTGATTGTAAACCTGAGTAGAAAAAAAATAGTGGAGTAGCAAAAATTCTGACAGGACACCTGGAGTAACAACAATACAGGTGTGGCATTGTAGGATCAGCACTGGACTGCAAACCACCAGGTTGTCAGTTCAAACCTACCAGCGGTCCCTTGGAAATCCTATGCAGGATTGCTAAAAGTCAGAACCGATGTGATGGCACCAATAATAAGAACAGCAGTGTATGCTACGTGTTTGGTTTCTCTAAATCTGTTCTCCAGTCTATATAGGTATATTTAACCACAGCAGTGGAAAGAAGACCCTCCAAGTATATTGACTTTATTTTAGAAGACGTATTTGAAGTCAATGGAAGAAAAAAGAAGTCGGTAAAAGAAAGACCACATCATGAGATGTGTATGTTTTAGTTTATTGAGAAAGCTATTTCTGAAAGAATGCTACCAATGGAATTTGACCACTGCTCTTCTACTTTGTTCACTTGATTTAACTTAAAATATGAAGAAGCCAAGCCAAGACACAGCAGCTAAGGCAAAATTTCTTGACTTCTAATTTTATTAGCCCATGTTTTAGATACCTGACCATCATCAAAGAGATACTTGAAGAGGAAAAACCAAATGGTTTGCTAAGGCCTAGATTTCTATACACCTAGGAGAAAGAGGAGGCTGTCTGCTCCTGTAAAGATTTACAGCCTTAGAAATCCTTTACAGGGTCACTATGAGTCATAACCAATTGCATGATACATAACAAGAGAAATGTCTCAAATGGATCAATCTGGCATATGTGTATGTTATTGTTCAGATGAGTTAGTTCTGATTCATAACTCTCCTCTATAAAGTTTCCAAGCAGCAGTTGATAAATTTGAACCACTGAATTTGTTATTCAAACCTGCCTTGCTGTCCAGTGCTTTATCCCACAGCACAACACTATGACTTCCTATCTATCTGCCTGTCTATCTGTCTATCTATCTATCTATCTATCTATCTATCTATCTATCTA